CAGTTCCACACATTCTGTTGTCCTGCCCATGATTTGATGCAGCCTGTACCTTTGCTTTCCCCTACCTATCCTCCCTTCACCGACCTCCCAACCTATCAGACATCCTTACAAAATCTCACACTTTCTGCTATGACAACCTTTTCTCCTTCCTCAGACGCATACATATCCTTTACTTGATCTAACGCCTTTACCTTAACTCGACCTTAACCCATGCACTCGTAAATTTCTTTGCCCAGCTTTAGGTACTAACCACTAACTCAACCACCCTTCACTATCCTTTACTATACCTTCCTATAGTACTACAAGCCTAGCACATTTATTTTCTTAACCATTAATCATTACATAAATAAAAGAGTGAATTTTGGTTTTATTTTTTATCAGTAGAGCAATAGAAAGTAAATTAAACAAATAATTATGTCTCATTCTATATCTGATCTCTCACAGCATGTGGTGATGTCATCAGTTCTGCCCTTTCTCTAGACCCTAACAATTTGTATTACGTGTTTTAACAATACATTTTGTTTGAAAATGGGTCAATAATAACAATGAAAAAAAAAACGAATAAGAAAGCAAGAAGAAAGAATGAATATTTTGCATTGAATAAAGTTAATGAGGCAGGGCTTAGCTCAGAAGTTGCCAACTAGGATTTCCATCAAGAGTGGGTCAACCTGTTTAAAAATACCTTGGGCCAGCTAATCAGAGTGCGATAGTTTTTACACATATTTCACATACGTCTCGGATGATTAAGAATTATTAATTACGAATCACATCATATGATTTTTGATATACAATTCATATTGCATAAAGTCTGTCTGTACCTTTACAGCATTACACCAAATACATGTTCACTCCGGTAAAGTCCATATGGAAGGTCGATGAAATGACATTGTAAGAATTTCCAGTGCGTCTGACTCATACGATGTGGTATTGACTTCGGTGGGACTCTTGTGAACATGGAACTCATTCGAGGTGATGAAATAAGATACAAATCTTCAAGCAACATGTACTTTCCATATGAAGAACATTAGATGTGAAAAGAAAAAAAAATGTTCTGAGAAATAAGTCCTGAATTACGCTGGGAAATATAAGCCCTAAGTGTTACTAATCCTCGCTTGCGATACTTTCCCTGGCCTATCGCTACAGCCTCATGTTATTACGCGGTTGCCAAAAGTTCGGTTCCACCTCCATTTTCCGAGCAATCGTATTCGAGTTGAATTTATTTTTTAATTTTATCAGATGATTAATTACTGATAGTATATTAGGAAATTACAATAAATAGAAGTGATAGTTATAACATTTTAAAATTATGAATCATAGGATAGAAAATAAGCTTCGAACGTCACACTCTATTAAATGTTTTGAAATACCATTAATTGATACTAATTAAAAATGCCTTCATATGCAATTATATAGTTTGTACATGATAAGTAAAATGAAGTAAAATGATTATGTAGATCTTAATATAATGTTTCGTATTATTCTTTTGAACA